AACTAAGAGAGCAGTGCCTGGAGGAACGAAGCAGAATCACACCCACTGCCCATTCAAGTGATGTCTCACAGAATCACAGAATGTGCTGAGCTGGAAGGGACCCACAAGGATCATCCAGTCCAACCCTCAGCCCTGCACAGGCCCATCCCCAAGGGTCACACCCTGTGCCCCAGAGGATCATCCAAACTCTCCTGGAGCTCTGGCAGCCTTGGGGCTGTGCCCACTGCCCTGGGGAGCCTGGTCAGTGCCAACCACCCTCTGGGGGAAGAACCTTTTCCTGAGATCCAACCTGACCCTGCCCTGACACAGCTCCAGACTATTCCCTGTCCGCTGTCCCTGGTCCCCTCAGAGCAGAGCTCAGGGCCTGCCCCTCCTCTGCCCTTCCCCAGGAGGCTGGAACTGCCCTGAGCTCTGCCCTCAGTCTCCTCAACTCTTCTCATCAGGATGGCCAGAACAAGCAAGGACACAACCAGTTATTTTCTAGAAGGAAATTAAGAAATTTAGCATGCTGTTAACATGAGCACTTTCCCAGGTACAGTCAAACAGCTTCACAAAGGGGAAGATTAATACTGTCCCAAAGAGGGAAATGAGAGAGTCAAATGCCCCGAACAGGCTGGGGACTGCAGGGTTGCAGCAGGACCTGAAACCAGGTTGCTGTGTTTTGCCTTTTTAATTTTAAAGTTGACAGCTTCAACTGCCAGCACCTACACTCAGTGCTGAGCAGTAGGGAAACCTGCCATTCCCCAGCTCTAGGCCAGATGGGTGAGTTTGTGGGGTAATGTTTTCATAACCATGCAGCCGGTACTGCTATTTATTATCCATCCCATTCCCAGTAACCTCTTTTTCAATTGCTGTTGTTCATTTGCATTTCTAGTAGACTTAAAAATAATTGTTAGCATTGTAGAAATGCTTTCAGTTTTTAAATGAGGGCTCCATAATCCTGCTTTCTGTAAAGATCTTAAATAAGAAATAATTTCTGTCCCACAGAGTACTGTAAAGGCATTTAAGGAGCTTACTGCCCACCCCACACCTGTTGTAAGCCCAGACAAAGGACAATAAAAATGTGAAACAGGAGAATGAATGAAAGAACCCCAGAAAGGCACATATGGCTGGGCAGAGAAGGTGCTCCTGCAGGTAGCCAGCACAGAGCTGGGGATTTTTTTTGCTTATCAAGACTGTTAAGAGTTACACACAGCAAAAAGGTATAGAAGGCATAAACTGCATAGAAAGATGTGTCACAAGTACCCCATCCCATGGTCAGTGTGCATGCAGGGGCAGAATGGGCAGATTTCAGGAGCATATAATTTGCTTCTGGGAAGTCTTTACCAGTTACTTCTGCAACTCCAGTCTAAAAACCTTCTCAATAAACAACACGCTCTTTCCTTAATTCAAGAGGTTACACTCATATTCAAGTTTCATCCCAGTTTTGCCAAAACAAAGCCTTAACTAAATACTGTTTTGACCCTGAGCACACTGGACACACTGCTAAGGTGGTCATGCTGCAGGAATTACTGACAGAGGCTTTTTCAGGGAGAGAAGTCCAAGGAAAGGTTGATGGAATCCTGTAGCATCAGTTAATTCAGGAAAAAAGCAACCCCACAAAATATTTTCTTACACTATGAGCAACTGCTGAAGTTTCAGGGGAAATTCCAAATTTACCATTAGGCTGGACTCTTAACTTGAATTATACCCCCAATGACCCAAATGGAGAAGTCTTGGAGGTGTTTTATCTCCACACTAATTCACCAGCTGATGTGCTTGGCTGAGCCTGAGGCTGGGCTCAAACACAGAGCTCAGTTCAGGCAGGGCAGCAGCAGTGTGAAACAAGCAGGGCAGGCACAAGGGCTTTGGTGGTTCAGTCTCTCCATCTCTCTCTTTCCATTCCCACGTACAAGTCCTCTTGCTATTGGACAACCTACTAGGGGGGAGCTTTGGAGCATCTCAGGTCAGGGAACAATCAGTGGTTTGAAAATAGTGAGAACACGGTAACGTTAGCAGGCTCTGTCTGTGAGGATGCTCACACCTGGACTGACCAATCCAGGTGCTCAGCTTACCTACAGAGCATTCTGGATAGGTGTGGAAGGAGAATTATGCCTCAAATATTGAGTCACAGAATCACAGAATCGTTAAGGTTGAAGAATTCCTTTAAGATCAAGTCCATCTGTCAACCAGCACCACCACCACGTTAAACACTGAACCATGTCCCCAAGTGCCACATCCAGGCTCCTCTTGAACACTTCCAGAGATGATGACTCCACCACCTCCCCGGGCAACTCAGTCCAATACCTGAACACTCTTTCAATGAAAAAATATTTTCTAGTATCTAATCTGAATCTGTCCTGGCACAACTTAAGGCCATTTCTTCTGATCCTGTATCTTGGGACATGACCAAAGAGACCAACCACCACCTCACTATAACCTCCTTAAGGTAGCTGTAGGGAGAAATTCCCAGCTCAAAGTTTGTGAGGATACTAAAACCATAATGAAAAAAATAAACCCAAACAGTTGTTTCAAGTTAAAAAAAGGTTACAGAGCAGACAGATCTGAAAGTATTACTGAAATATTGTAATGCAGAGTTTAAACAAAAGCAGTGACACAGAGAAGAAGATCCCAGTTCAGTTCTGAGTATCTTCTTGGAGAGAATCCTATTCAGCAAAGATGATTCAGTTAAAGGTCAGGTTTCCACCCTACTTGGTTTCTCCTTCTTTGAGGCATCACAGATGGCCTTTGCCTCAGCACTGCCCTGCCCTGCAGACCTGACAGAAAGCTCTGCCTCCATCCCAGTTACTCACACATCACCCCAGGGTGCCCTGTGCCCAGGAGCATCCCCGGCCACCTCCTTGGCTCCAGGCTCCACAACCTGCCAGTGTTGTAAAGAGTGCCTCCACAACCTCTTTACTAAACGTCAGCCCTTTTCCTTCTTTCCCCCTCTTTTTCCTTTGGTAAGCTGCTGCTTCTAAAGTTGAATTTTGACCATTAAGCTCTCAGTTCCAAAGGGAAGGGAAGGGAAGCCCAGTGCCCTGCTGTCAGACACAGCCACAGCAGGAGCTGGCCCGTGCCCAGGTCCCAGGGTGCTGCTCCCGCTCCTCCCTGCTGTTTATCCCAGCCGGGTGTTTTTCCCCTGGCGCTGCCACGATTGTTTGGTCGGGCTGGGTGATGGATGGTGGAGAAGGTTGTGTCTGGAAATGTGCTCCCAAGTCGACAGGAAGCCCGGGGGGCCTTTGCCAGCACTTCCTTCCTGTATACAAGGGGAGGACAGAATGGGAAAAACCTTGGCTGTCTCCTACCCTGAGAAAAGCGCTCCCCTTCCAGCTGGATTACAGTAACAATATTTTAATCTTTCACAAGATTATAATATCCTTCCTCTCTAAGTATAGTTACAGTGGCAGCTCAGAATGAAGTGAACACTCAATAGGTGGTGCTGGAAGCTGAACAAATGGAGGCCCAAAGTGGAAGATCCCTATCTTCAGCCAAGATATAAATCCCCAGTGGATCACACCTGTCTAACCCAGGACTTGACTCCAAGAGTAACCAGGACTAAGCACTTCAACAGAAGGTATAAAATGCACACATTGGAAATGTGTCCCTCTGGACAACTTCTTTCCTGTGCCTCTTTTAGAGAGTGGATCTAAACTGAAACCACAACATTCATTACCCCTACAAAACACAAGGCTGCAATGAGCCATCTATGAATATTCTGACTGCACATTTCTCACGAGCACCCAGGATGTGTTATAGAGACTTGCCTTGAAAGCCTTTTTCCAAAAACCCAGCCCCAATGTCCTTTTGTGGATGATTCATGAATCTCCACACATCTCGATGTGTAATCATCACCTGTTCACAGTAATAATATGTGCTGAGTATTACAGAAGAGATACTTCCCCCTACCACAGGAATTTTTCTAAAATTTTCCATTCTTGAGCTCCCAGATTCAAACCCATAGACAACAGCAAGGGCTTTAGTGCAGGCAGGTGTTCAGAACCCCAGACTCATGAACTTGCTCTGCCTACAGCCACATGGCCTGTGACAGCCAGAGCAGGGCACACAGGGTGTGGTTCTGAGGACCACTCTCCTGGCTGTCCCAGCAAGGGGGTATCCCAGCAATCCCCTCAGGCACATATTGTCTGGGCCAGTTTGCCCAAGCAAGTCTGAAAAAGGAAGGAAGAAATTCTCAGGACTCTTGACAACAAAAGAAAGCTCCCCAAACCTGTGAGCAGACAGCCCTCCTAACAGCCTGTATTTCTGACAAAGGCCTCAAAAGAAAAGACCTCACCCATGAACAAAGAGTGGGGAACAATGGGAACTGTCAAAAAATAGCCCTCACGTCAGAGCTAAGAATGCCCCTTGACACTTCCAAAAAAGCCCAGGCTGAGCAGAGCCTGGGAGGCCACAGGCACTGCCTCTGGCACCCGCCTCTCCCAGGCCCTGCCCCGGGGCAGAAACTGCCAGAAGCACTCAATGAGGCTGAATTCCAACAACCAAAGATGGGGATGGAAGAGGAGAGGAAATTTATGGTAAGTCTGGGCCAGAAAAAGTAACAAATTCCTGTCCATTTAATGTCTCCAGCAAGGATCCGACACTGAGACTTCATGGGACATCCGTGACAACGGTGTGTGTGCACGTGTTCCCTTTCTGCACAGGGAAACCAAGTACCAAAGCAATTAGTGAGAGAATTAAACTATGGCTAAAAGCTGAATGAGTTGTGTAACGCAGTAATAAAACCCTGTGTGCTTCTGAACTGGTGAGAAGTTATAAAAACAATTGCTAGTAAACTTTTCAACCTGGACTAGAATTCTAAGAATTCTGATATCCAGATGTGGACAGGAAGCCTCAAAGATCCAATAACCTTCAGGGCATGCAATTTAGCACTGATTCACAGGTTTTGCTTTATTTGTGACTCAGTATTCTCTTCCAATAGCACTAAGAAAATAAATGGAAAGCAAATCATGCTGAATGAACAGGAGAAGACAGGTAAACACTTAGAGAAGCAGAAAACTCACCCGTGGGCTGATCACTTGAGTCACTGTCCTGATTCATCCTCCCGAAGGCGGCACCAGATCAGGATGCTGAGGTTGGAGGTCTAAACTCAGAGATGGCACTCCAAGCTCTTGCTTCTAAAAAGAAAAAAGAGTTACTGTCAAATTGCAGGAACTTCACCCTGTATGACAAAGGGAATATCTCGTGTGTGGTCTGCTGTCCTTGAATCTAACAAGAGAGTGGAGAATCTACGTGCAAGTACAGCTTGGTGTAGGAGCCACAGTTACACATTGCCTGAAGATCAGAGAATTCAACGGTGAACTGAATTAAGTCAACCAAGAAACACTGAAAAGTGGCATCTGAGATCTCATGCACGTTAAAGCAACGTGTAGTTAAACTCACATCTGGATTCCTGGAACAGGTCAAGATGAGCTTTCAAATTTGAACTGCACAAACAGGAGTCCTAATGCTGTTTACTTGAGTAGCCAAACAAAACTCCTGCACAAGGCCAGGAGTTAACTTGATGATCCTGGTGGGTCCCTTCCAACTCAGCACATTCTATGATTCTGTGAAAACCCCAGACCTATCTAACCCCAAATCAGACAGACCACGTGAAACTATGTTTTTGCCACAGCTAAACAGCTCCTTCTCTTTGTTTTGCTTGCCCTTCCACTCATCACATCTTGACTGTGGTAGAGTTGGAAAGACAACCCATGTCTCCCAAATCCCAGTCCAGTGCCTTAACCACCACATCCTTCCTGCTGAATCACACTACAGGATTGTTTATCAGGAAGGAAATTCCCCCTCGAGAATACTCACTCTGAGTGTGTTGGTGGAACACAAATGCTTAAAAAAATACAAACAGACAGGCAATAACAACAAGTGATTTAAGTCCCTGTGCACCAGGCTGGAGGCACAGCAATGTGTTGGGTTTGTTGTTTGTAGCAGTGTCAGTGAGGCACATCAAGCAGGACATGACACAGAACAAGCAGTGCATCCGGGTGGCCTCACAGGAACAGCCTCCTGTTCTCAATGGATGACACAAGACTCTGAAAGCATCTCCTCCACATTTAGCATGAGGTGTACCTGACTCAGGGGCACTCAGAAGGTTTAGACTCTTACCAGGCACCATGAAAGTCACCTTTGGCAGCATCTCATGCCAAGCTCCTAAGTGCAAGCAGTTTGTATGGGATCCAGTGGGTCAGAATTAACCTCAACATGTTGTATGAGCAAAGGGCCTTTGCTTTCTTTAAGGTCTTTAGCCCAAAAATAAAAAAAAGCAGGGTGTATGTGGAGGAAGATACCAAAAGTGGAACAAATAGGTTTTAGCCTAAACACACTTTATCCCATTGGTCTCCTAGAAAACAAAAAGGGCTGTAAT